TGGCTGGTTTATATGCTCTTCTCGCTGCTCGTGGTGTTTTGACATCGCTCGAATGGAAGTTCTTGGTGAGTTTTTGAGATTTGTGGAATTCCTTGATAGAATGTGCTTGGAAATAATTGGTGTGTGCATGTTATTTTGTTGTGGATTTAGTCTAGTTGGGTCTGTTCTATGTTACAAATTATGATTGGGGTTGTGAGCTTAATCTTGTTCTGTTTGGTCATAGGAAAAAGATCGATCGGATATTCTAATCCTGCATAACTTTAACATGTTTTGCCTTTCATAAACAAATTAAGTGAATAGCGATACATTACTGTAAGGTAGCGGTTTTGATTATGTCTGCTAGCTATTGCTGACAGATTGCAGTACTTGGTTTCTGCTCACGGTTGTTTTCCATGTTTTGGGCGTTCCTTAATCCTGACATTGCCTATTTTAAGAACTGTGATCTTAGTTGCTTTATTCTTGGTGACCTGGCACATTACACAATAGAACATAATGTACATAGGGTTATGCACGAATATGCTTATCCACTAGTTTTTTTTGTACATATTTATAAATACTAAGTTCAGTATTATTTAAAAACGACGCTAGTAAGAACTCAAAGTATCCACGCAAGTAACGTTACTCTTCTCTTCATTTATCTGACTGATTTTACACTGTGCATAAGCACTAACCATTAAAAAGTTTAATGTAATATTTCAATTCCCTTTTTAAAAGTTCAAGGGTACTTCAATACCCTTTGCGTTCTTTTTATGGGGAACATCTTACATGAATTAGCAGTTTCTTTATTGGCGGTGTAATAGGCATCTTTGATTTTTGTTTATGTGTTCCAACTTCCAAGTTGCCACAACAGTTTGTTTTAGAGAACCTGCTGTGACGTGTTGATAGTTAGTATGTTAATGTTTCCTATAAATTTCCTAGATCTCCGCTTTTAAAGCTAAATGAAATCTATGATCTGATCATCAGAGTTTACATGTATTGCCATGTTAATATTGTTGTTGTCCAAAATTTTGAATACTTTTCCAGCACTTTCCTTTCTACATGGGCCTGCACACTGGTATAACTTATTCTTTGATGGTTGGATATGTTTTGACTGATCCTCTGGTAAAGTCTATGTACTGCACATTCCCAGCAGAACAGTTTCAGTTGTACAAGATTTCGATGCTTTCATCATTTTTCCAGTTGCATTTTGTGCTGTCTTTTGAAGTGTGCATTATTGGCGGAACATGGCTGAAGTTAGATTACTGTGTAACTCCTTTTAGTTTTGGGAAGCAAACGTGAGAAGAGCATTACAAATTTAGTGTTCAGAACCAACTCATTGTATTGCCTGTATATACAACTCTGGAACTGATTAGCCTTAACATTTCTAAGAGGAATCACATTTTAACATGCAAAACAGATGTATAATTATACTGGAAGAAACAATCGCAAGCTCCACCTGAATAGTGCCCTTAACTCAATACACT